ATTACCTTTGTCAGCCCTAGTTCATGCTGAATCAAATGTGTACATACAGTTATATCCTTTCACTAATTGGATTAATAATATTTCTTCATAGAATTTGAGCTAATGGTGATATTTGATTATTTTAATGCATACAGCTTTTCAACAGTGAAAAATATTAATAAAGTGCACCAGTGATCAGAAGAACGTGGTGCAAAATTCAGTAGAAACAGTTTTATTCAATGTAAACATACATAAGAGGATGTCAATTGTGTGCAGTGGTTCAGAATATAATCATTTATATACAAAACACATTATTTGTTTAAGATGCAAAAAGCTATAACTGATGTAAAAGCATGGATTAAAACTAGAGGACTTTAAGGTTGAGTTTTTGTTGTAGAACTATATGCTGGGCAAAGTTAAAAAAACATAATGGAATGACGTCATATAAAGAAACTACATTTCCCAGCTGTTCGTTTTTAAGGAGGAGTTTGAAGGACCACAGTGTTTACAGTGATTTTCAGTTTAAACACCAATCTCAAAATTATTTCGACGGCAAATACATTTTCATATAAGCGACATATCTAAGGTTTTGTCTTTAAAGATTTTAGATTTTCTTAAAATATTTTATATGGTTGTGGCTTTTATTTTGAAAGTATATATTTGTAAGTTATTTAAGAAATGAACCGAAATAATAATAAAAAACAGAAGTGGAAGTAAATTGCTTTATAGCCTACAGTAGAGTAAAAATATATATTTATAAGTATTTTCCGCTGTTTATATGAATAACTCTCTGGGACTTTATTGTGATAATCTGGACAGGATTTTCAATTCAGTTACAACTGACTTTGAGTGTGAGTACGTGGTATGGAACAAGCGGAAACTTCCACTGAGCTGCAAACGTTTGAGGTGAGGAAGCTGGCAGTCACCAAACTGACCGCCGGGTCACTTTAATGATGCTTCCACGCAGACAGGACCACGGAAAGAGAAGGAGCGACGGAGCGCGCGGCGCGTGGAGCCCGGTCCGCCGCAGCTCCGCCGTGCTGCCCTCGGTGCTAACCTTCCTGGTGATCGTTGCCTCCGGAGGCCTGCTGCTCATGATAGAAAAAGGAATGCTGAACAGCATGGAGACTCCTTCACCTCGGGGAAGCCCGAGGCGGCTGGATCTCAGCAGAGAGACCCGTAGACACATTTCAGACAGCGTGGACGTGGAGTCCCAGGTGAGTTATTTTGATTCTACTTTTAAAGTTCTTCTAAACAGACTTCAGATTTGCTTTTTTGTCAGAAATATGAAAAAAAAGTTATCTTAAGGGATGTTTTCAGTTGTTTATTTGTTGTTATTTTCATTTTGTTACACAAACACAACATTCTGAACTACGGAAGAGGATTAGGGCCACTGGAAAAAAAAAAGTTAACTGATTTTTAAATTTTATTTCAGTTTAGTATGTAGAATTCTAACTTTTTTTCTCAGAATTCTGACTTTTTTATTGTCAGAATTCAGTCAGAATTCTGAGATTAAAGTCAGAATTCTGAGAAAGTTAAACTGTTAAACTGAAATAAAATGTAAAAATCAGTTAACTTTTTTTTTTTCCAGTGGCCCTAATCCTCTTCCGTACTGAACACATATGTAAGCTGAGAGAAAAATAAATGATTGCACATATTAAGGATGTATACGTAGATTGAGAGGAAAATAAACTTAATGTAACAAAAAAATCTGGATAAACAAAATATTAAAAATAATAAATACAATAAAATAAGTCAAGTGCATTATTGTTATCAATGTTATCATAAAAAAAGACAAGTAAACACCTATATTTGAGCAAAAAAATTTACCTTTCAGGTGGTTTATTGCGGTGCTCCAGTTGCATTGTGTCATTCATTACTGTTTTAAACAGATTAAATGTAGCTGCTGTAGTTTGATTTCAGTTGAGCAGAATACATCTTTGGCTACATAAGCAATTATACCAATCCTTTTATTGGCGATCGGGTTTAGAGTATTATCTGAATCTGTACCAAAGAGATTAAATAGAGGTGAGAGTTTGAATTGAATTGGCAAGAGTTTGATTGTAAGACTATGCACTTACATTACAAAAATGTTTGAGTTTCTTGCATTTCCAAAATACATTCTAGTGTCTTTTACAAACACACTTGAAGATGCAGTAGTATACATTTAGCTAAGACGGACTGGTGTTAAGTGCATTCTATGCATTAAATTGTAATTTTGCTCAATGATTTTGTTTCAAGATAAAGAAACAAAAACATTACCACACATGTTGGTCCAAAGCTCATTATCAAGATCTTGTTCTAGATCTTTTTGCCATAGAGTTCTTAGTGAGCTATTATAGTCTAGTAATACCCCAAAGATCGCTGAGGTCTTCCCTTTCAGCTTTGTGGAGTTTACCATGATTTCCTCAATTGTTGATGAAGTAAAGGACATTTACCCTGACTTTTCCAATGTGGTAGATATTTATAGAAGTTTTGGTTTGGGATGTCAAATTCTGATCTGAGGTCTACAAAACCTTTTAAGTGATGTTTTCTTAAATTTTACAACAATTATACGCTCCTAACAAAAAGGGTTGCAAAAGTTTGAGGTTCCCAGACAGGAAATCAACAAATGTACAGTTTGGCGTTTTTGTTTTCTGTTAAAATTTCCTAATAGCAAAAGTCAAGTCAAGAATGATTTAAAATCCCAGGAAAAATGCATTGGATATCTTTCCACACACTCAGTATTTAAATATGTCCACAGACTTAAAGGTATTTTATGGTAGACCATCAAAAAGTTTGTAATTCATCATGCAGAAAGCTTAGGGATGATAATGTTTGAAGGTTAAAGTAGGATTAGGTTATAAAACAATATTTCAAGCTTTTATAATTCACAGAGATCCTGAGAATGCAAAGAGTACATGGACAGAGACATGGGCATTGACCTAAACTGGTTGTCACTAATGAGGCTGAGCACCGTGGTGTCATCTGCAAACTTGATGATGGCGTTTGAGCCATGCACGGGTCTGCAGTCATGGGTGAGGAGGGAGTAGAGGAAGGAACTGGTGATGGTGGATAAGAAGTGGTTGTCCAGTCAGACACGTTAAGGCTGATTGGTCAGGAAGATACAAATAGAGTTACACATGAGTGAACTAAAGCTGAGGTCTGTGAGTTTGGTAATGAGTTTTGATAGGAAGAGTTAAAGAGTTAAATACTGAACTAAAGTCTAAGAACAGCATTCTGGTGTAAGTGTTCTTACTGTCCAGATTGCAGGGCTATAGGGACTGCATCCTCTGTGCTCCGGTTCTGCTTCTATGCAAATTGGTGGGGGTCCAGTGTGGGCGGGAGACAGGATCTGAGGTGAGGGCTAACGGATGGTAGTCATTGACTCTGGATGGGTTGGAGGTGGGACGATGGAGATGGACTTGAAGCAGGTCCACCTCCAGGTCCCCAGTGCACACTCCGAGGACATGTCCAGGGATGCCATTAGGACTCGCAGTCTTGAGGGCTTTAATCCTGTTCAGAACACTTCTACTTCATGTATTCAGATGATTTTTATGTTCATGCATCATAGTAAATAAAAGTATATGCTCCCATAGCACTCTAAGTAAAAAAAACAACATTCACCTCAGTTTTACAAAAGCAGGTTCAGGGAGAAATTTAACCTGCAGCTCATGGCACCCTGTCCTAGGCTTAAATTGCTGCAAACATTTGATAAAATTCATAGAAATGCATAGAACATATTTTGACACTTTCATTGTAGTTTCATAAATTGGGGGAAACGTTGTAGGGGTATGAATAATTTCGCAAGAAATTGCTAACTGGTGGAACATATGTAATTAACCTGCATTTATGTTCACATTCAGATCCTCCAGGAGATCCGGAATCGCACCATCAGGACCATGTGCAGCCAGAAGAACATGCCCCACAGCATCTGGACACTGAGCCCCCTGCAAAGGAAGACAGTGCTGCAGCACATCCTAGTGAACGACGAGTACCGTTTCCTCTACTGCTACGTTCCCAAAGTGGCGTGCTCCAACTGGAAGAGAGTCCTGAAGGTCCTGAGTGGAGCCCTGGAGAGTGTGGATGTCAGCATCAAGATGGATCATCGCAGCGACTTGGTTTTCCTATCCTCCCTGAAGCCAGAGGAAATCCGCTACCGCCTCAAGAACTACTTCAAGTTCATGTTTGTGCGAGAACCCATGGAGCGACTACTTTCTGCCTACAGAAACAAGTTTGGAGAGATTGAATCCTACAAGAAAAAATATGGGGTAGAGATTGTAAAGCGGTACAGGAAGGGCCATGCCAAGGATGCGTCTGTGACCGGAGATGATGTGACCTTTGAAGAGTTTGTCCGCTACTTGTTGGATGAGGATGTGGAACGCATGAATGAGCACTGGATGCCTGTTTACAACTTATGCCAGCCTTGTGTTGTTTCTTATAATTTCATTGGCTCTTATGAGCACCTTGAAAGGGACTCTGAGTATGTGCTCCAGCGCATCGGTGCGCCGCCTTTTATTCGCTTCCCTGAGAGACAAACTTGGTACAAGCCTGTCACGACAGAAACATTACACTATTACTTGTGCACTTTGCCACAGAAGTTCCTCAGGGACCTTCTACCCAAATACATTTTAGACTTTTCTCTATTTGCTTACCCCCTCCCAAACACAACCACTGAATACTGTCGGCATTAAAAGATGCCCACTTTTTTTTTTATAGATATTCATCTTGGACTATTTTTATACCTTAGGGGAAATAAAACGTAAATAAAAAGTATTTTCACATTTCATACATGATGTCACATCAATGATTTAAAAACCACTAAAGTGTCAATATGAGGTAATGAGACATTCCTGAAACTTCATAAAAACTGTTACAGTGAATAGACTGATTCATTTACAGCTATTGGACGATTGTACCGTAGGTCTGTGTTTCATAGGTTCTGGGGAAATGTTGTGGTTTAGCAGGCTAAACACAGTTTCACCTTAAGGTTTGCATACAAACATTCATTGGTATGTTTACCAGTAATTTGGTTCTTTTAATGGTCTGTTTGAAGTGTTTTTTTTCCAGGGTGGAATGATGATACACATTCAATGAATTTTAAAAATAAATTGAACAATTTTAAATGTGTTTATTACCTCCACCTTCGAATTAGGGCCGCAATTAACGATTATTTATTGTTTTGCTAATAATCGGATAGCCAAAAGTTCCTTAAAGATTTTTTTTTAAAAGAAATTAAACCAGTTAAAACTAGAACTTTTCGACTAGATGAGTTCTGGATAGAGCATATTGACAGAAGAATAGTTTTTTTTTTATCTTAAAAAGTTTCAACACTCCAGTTTACGATTAATCAGTTACTAAATTAGTTGAACATTTCAATAATCGATTAATCTGATACATTTTATCAGCCCTAGTTCACACCGACTCAAATGTGTACAAAGTTATATCCCTTCACTAATTGGATAAATCTTCTTTTGTAGAACTTGAGCTAAGTGCGATATTTGATTACTCCTTTTACCCAAAATGTTGATTAGACCTAATTAAACCAAAATATTTCTGGTATGAACCAGACTTTTAGGCATAGTCCAATAAATGTAGCATGTAGTATTTCACATTTAGCTGTTTATTGAGAAATGTAGACAGTTGGAGAAAGTTAAAATACTACTGGCAGCAAAGGAGACCCTTAGTGGGATTCTGCCACATGCTTGACAGTTGTTATGGTGGTCTTGGGTTATTATCTTGACCCCTAGTCTTCCTCACGGTATTGCTCCCATCTTTGTTAGTAGCAACACAATGTTTTAAGGAGGTTTATGTGAAGGAGCACAAACTTCTTAATTAACTCTTTAGTCATTGATTATGTAAAACTGGCTTTTATTTAAACAACATTGTTGTTCCTCTTTGAAGCTTTGAGCAGCCTCCATTTCCTTTCACATGATATTAATAATCTGTTCAGATTGTTGAAGCTGGATAACTGGGTGTTTCAGCCTGGAAATGATCCCTAACAGACACCAAAACTTGTTTTAGAATAGATAAGCAGCTCAATGTTCATCTTTTTAAATGATCCAACCCTAGCTGGACGAAAGAAAGAAACCAAACATTTTTTAAAAGAGCTCTACTTCATATACAACATAAATAATGCCAAAAACAAAACTTGATGGCTACATTTAACCTATTCAAACTTTGCACCTAATTCTTTGTTTTAAAATAAATTTTGTTGTGTTGTATTATCAGTTCTTTACCAAAAAAAAGAACTATACAAACAAATCACTTGAAGCACCCAGATAACAGGACTTTTAAACCAATGGGTCAATCTGATGCTGTGAACTCAGATTTTCCCCTGACTTTTCATGTAATGCTCAACTGTTTACAATTTAATAAAACTGAGAAACATGTAAAAGCCTTTTTTTATTTTTAATTAATTTATTCAACAAATAATTTATTTAGAAAACGACAATTTATTTATATATATATATATATATATATTTACACACTCACCAACATGTGAAACATTTCATTAACAGTTTATTGGTTAAGGCTATGAATAAAATTACTTTCAGACGTGTGAAAGTGCCTGATACCAGGTGTTATAAAATATGAATATATATAAACGAAAATAAGTAAAGGTCTGTGCAACTTCATGTCTTTAGAAAGGTCAGTCCTTGAAGCTAACGCTCCTGAAAGGGAGAAGAAAAAGGAGGTGGTCAACATTTAGTTACTCAGTAATAAAAAGTTCATGGTCTTAATGCCCAAACTTTACTTGTCTGTAGACTTGTCTGTAGATTTGTCTGAGGAGTGCTCTTGAGTTCGGAGGATGGAGCGTTCTGCAGAGGTGTGATGAGAGCCTCCAGATAAACTGAGAGGAGACGAGCTTTGCAAAGATGAAAATGACAATCCCTGTCTGCGCATCTCCTGAACCGCTCTTTCTCTGAGGAGAGTTGAATAATGCCACATATGTTAGGACTCTACATTTAATCACATTTAAGTAATTGAATTTCAGTACTTATTACACGTTACAGCAAGCTGACACCAAACCTTAGATCTACAATCCTTAACATCTACAGCAAAGTATTTACTAAATGACCAGTAATTGTTACAAAGTACCTGCAGTTTTTTCTTATATTTGAATGACCAATTGACTGTTAAAACTCAGCAATTAAAAAAAATTAGGGTTGTCAACATAGAGGACAAAATAATTTTAGAAATAACAAAATCATAGTTCAATATGAGCCATTTCACACACACCTGTAAACATTTATCTGATGAGCTTATATTTAATGTATAGGATTTCCACAAGAACTACTTATAATTTAATAACTGAAACAGAAAAATCTTCACCTTAGAGCAGAAAGAGGACAAGTCTTTGTCCTTAAAAGCAAACAGGGATGGATCAACAACTAAATGAAACAGAATAATGCTTTTCTATAAATCTTCCTCATTGAAAGTCAAAGCTTTAGGCTAAGGTGGTAAAAGCTGCATATAAACATATATGCCTAAAAACTACAGAAGCATTGTTTAAAAATATAGTCATACATGTAAGCAATTGCTATAAAAATAGTTCCCAGCTTTGTGACCAGAGTGATTTGTTGCAGTTCCTGGATCCCAACGCATCAAACTTTTAGATTTTTACTATTTTAAGCCAAATTTTAATATGAATAAATAGGTTCAATATTAATTTAGTGCAGATTTTTATTCAGCGTTTGTCAAACTTTAAATATGGAACCTGTAAAAAAACGAAGTGCGAAAGGAAGAAAGAGAGGCTAACGGATGGAAGTATGAATGAACGAAAAATGAACATGTATGGATGAATAGAGATTGATGGATTATTAGAAGGTTATGATGACATAATTAGACAGGAAGAAAAACATGGATGGAAAACAGGGATAGACTGGCAATGATGGATGGATCCATTAATGAACAAATAGATGGACATATTGATGACTAAATGGACAATAAGACAGGGAATAAAAATATTTTTCCAGTCTTTATTTCATTTTTCTATTATGTTTCAGGCCTGCAAATCTTTCCAAACCTTTTCATATGGCAGAAACCGTGAAATATAAACATTATATATGTTGCTTAATATCTTCCATACATTTGTGTCGGCAAGTGTTACAATAGTAAAAGTTATTCTCTAAATAAAAATGAGCTCACCGTTCGAATCGCTCAGCGGTCAGCTGTCGTTTCAGCACATCCATTTCTGTCTGCAGTTGAGACACTTTTCCACGGAGCTGGGACACCTCTCTGGCGTGCTCTGCACTTTATGCACATAAGAAAAAAGCATTCAGTGTCCTCTTTAAAAATATTTTATTGCACTCAACTTGGCAGAATGACTTGTTCTTTACTTTTTGCTGTCGGCCACAGTGAGCCTGTCACGCAGGACTTTCAGTTCAGACTCTCTCTCACTGGCAGTCAGATGAGTCTGGAACTCCTTCTGCCGGTTGGTAGACAGCAGTGTCTCAAGGTTGCGCACGGTCAGCCTCTCACTGGCTAGTTGTTTCTTCAGGACCTCAACCTCTGAGCGAACGTCTTCCAGTTCCCCACTCACCTTAAAACAGGAAATAAACAACCGCTATAAAACTGAACAACAGATGCAGAAGCAGCTCAGATGCCCTCCTGGTGGAATGAAGTGTGTTTCAGTAATGAGTGGTAGTGCGATTAAGGAAACCATGGTGAGTCTTACCCTCTCTAAGTCCATGCTCTTGGAGGTCAGCTGTCGTGTAACAAGGTCCTTCCCGGAGTCTAGTTTGACACAGAGCTCCCTGACAGAGGCTAGATCTGAAAGGAGAGCGGCCTTCTCCTCCTGTGCTTTGTTCAGCTCCTCTTCTAGTCGGGACATCCCACGAACCAGTGAGGACACCTGGGCTTCATAGGCCTGTAGGGCCTGCATGTGCTGGGAGAAAAAATGGGGGAATGCTAAATTAACACAACGATGCATTACATATATGCTGGCAAATAATGTAGATTTGTTTATTTACCTGTTGGATCTCTCGCTCTTTTTGCCTTAGTGTGTCCCGGAGCTGCCTGCGCTCTGTGTCCGAGGAGAGCAGCTCGAGGCGGGTGGAGTTATTCAGGCATTCAGCCTGGTGCAGCTTCTGCTCCTTTTCCTGCATGCCAGAGTGGGCCATCCTGAAGCGCTCCAGTAAATCCCTGTTCTCCTGCTCCTGGGGACCATTAGTTACCAGTTACTTCCTGGGTTTACAGAAACTAACAGAAGAAATTAGAAGAGTCCCTTACCTTTGTGGCCATTAGTTTCTCTATTCTGGATACTTCCGAAATATATGAGTGGACCCTCAACTTTAACTCATCCTTCTCATGCAAAGCCTCCTCCATTTCTAAATGTACCGCCTGGACAGAGAGACATTTATAGTAAGCATTTTCTTTCTCCAATATATTTTATTGAATTTTCTCTTTCTTGATACAACAATTACAAACTTAACCATGTAACATGTATTTATACACACATTCATTCATTCACATTTTAGTTAGCATTTTCTAACTTTCTCACACAAAAGACAAAGATATGACTTAATATTAACACCTACTTGGTTCTCCCTGGTCATGGTGGCCAGGTCATCCTGCAGCCTCCTGTTTTCTCTTAGCGTGACTTCTTTGTCTCTCTTGAGGGCGGCCAGCTCCTCCTGAGACGCATCCAGCTGCCTCCTCAGGCTGCTGATTTCCCGTTCACGGATCTTTAATGCTCCTTGCAATTGACTGAATGGAAGAAAGAAATCCCAGATGCTTTATTAGCATCTTACTGTGGCGCATTTACTGCAGAAATATGGAGCAACTAAAAGCAGTACTTACGCAAGGGAATTGTCCATATTTTTGACAGTGAGTCTCACATCGTCAAGAGTTTTTTCCTGTGAAGATGTCAGAGAATCGTTCTTTAGAATCACCCACTCCACGAATTTATGAATCATTTACTCCAGATTTTTACATAAATATGGAGTACAAACCAAATATAAATAACAGCCATAGCTGGTAAATCTCTGATCAAATTTCATAAAGCTTGATTTTTGCTTTTATATGTTCGACATCTAATAACCAATCAGCTAATAACGTTTCAGGCTCTGCATTTAGGTTACTTTGACACTGCTGGCAAATGCCACCTAAATCTTTTTTTGCCCATATGAGACTCATGTTTGGTGTTTTCATAGAAGTCAGGACAGCCCAATTCCGATCTTTTCGACTCCCCAAATCAGCTACATCTCCAAAAGCTTTTATAGCATCTTGTATCTGAACATTCATGGCGCATTTTAACCAACGTTCACGTTATCATCCAGACTCTGACTGCTGTTACTTCCAGGAACAGTGGGCTGATGTGCATCATCAACGCTGTCCTTCTGTGCATGCTGGTCACTTTGGGTAAAAAGTTCAAATTGTAATTTGATGGTGGCTGCATTTAAGTAGCAGTCTGAACGACCATGCAGGGAGAAAAAAAGAAAATCATATTTCATAAAAAAAAGTGAATATAAATAATACTGTAAAACCTGCAGTGTGAACATGGATTTAAACACAATGAACATCACAGTCACCAACTTTTTAGATAAAACATGACTCATATTTACACTATAAATCATTTTGATGTTATTTATGTTGCAAATCGTCACAAACAAACATCTTGACTTTCTCATGTTAGCCCCACTCATCTGGTCTGAAAGCAGTTCTGCTGTGTTTAGGATCACTAGCCTCCTGACAAACCACCAGATGTGCAGATTCCAGCACTCTCACTTTTGAAACTAAGAGCTAGCTTTACGTTCTGCAGAAATTTCAAAGAAGAAAAACACCAACTCTTTTCCGCTGGTTCAAAATAATCTCCAAATCATTTACATCCTGTTTGATAAGCTGTCTTTGTATAGCTAATGTCCTAACTTTGCTTCAACCGTAAACAACCTCGTTGCATGTTGTCCTAAAATTGCAGTGCATTTAGATGATATGTCATCGCAACTGCTGTGTTTGTGCCCACTCTGCATTTAGGGCCGACACCAATGTTTCTGCTGTATTCAATGCGTAGATCAGCGTGGACAGCTCACACGCCTGCAGGGCTGCATTAAACAGCACTAACTGCTTTAGCTGGGCTACCAGCTACTTGCCTCACATCACAGCAACATTGGGTCCATTGCTGGTCATCATGTTCTCCACCTTAAAAACATGAGTCTGTATCCTTGTTTTGTCCCTTTCCTTATCAGCGCACATCTTTCAAAGATAGGGCTGGGCAACTAATTGCATTTGCAATATATATCCGCAATTTAAAAAAAGGCAACTTTCAAATGCAGATGCACTTTTTTTTTTTAATCCAGCATTTTAAGTGGCTTTAATATGTTTAAAGTGGGTTTGTTGTGGAAAAAAAAGAAACTCCCAGCTTGCACCCAGATCTATGGATGCAAGTAGAAGTAAATGCCAAACAAAGGTTACAGTAAATTCCTGCAACAATGGACTTTGGACATGCCAGTTTTCAAGGATTTGAAAAAAAACCCCGAAACCCTGGGGTGGAACATCTTGCATGCTTGTTTGTTGTGCGAAGGAGAAATCTACAATAATAAAATCCAATTATTGATAGAAAATAAACGCAATTTAGATTTTTGATAAATCGTTCAACCCTAGTCAAAAACCGTTGTTTTTATTCTATACCAATAATGAGTCCCAAGTGTCTTCAGGTAAACATTTTGATCCGCTGGATGCACTTTCTGCCATTTTGCTGCTATGTTACACCAGGAAGTCCTGAGTGGCTGCTGTTAACATGCATGTTCAATAACGTTCGTACACTTAATGCGGCCAGCCTGGTTATGTAAACAACACACAGGAGAATAACACAGAAGAGTCCGTCTGAAAAGGTATCTTCAGTTCTTTTTATCTAAAATAATGAATTTTTTGTTATGGCTACTTTAACTGTTTAGACAGATCTACCCATGGAGCCTGTTTACTGTAACCTTTTCAAACATAGAAAGTATTTGTAGATCAGCAATTCTAGTTTCCTGTCAATGTCTGCTTCTGTCTCTTTGAATCCCCAGAAGGCCTCAGCAGAAGCCGCTTATACTGATTCTAATGAAGGTGTCTTCCTGTTAAAAAGGAAATTTCCTCTCCACTGTCGCTGCATGCATGAGTGTTATGAGGGAATGCTTTAGAGAAGGTGACAGAACATAAGCATATATCTACCATCCCTACATGCTCATCCAGGAGGAGTGAATCCTGCAAATGATTGGATGCAATCAGCTAGTTTTCCTTAAATAAGAAAACTTTTAACCAATCTGCCTGTATGATCTAGTTGGATGGTCTCTTTAAAGTGCTTCGATATGACATGCCGAGAATTGGTGCTACATAAATGAAATTACCTGAATTATTTTTAATACAAAGTCTACATTACCTGAAAACAACTTTTTAAGGGATGTAAACAGAAATATTCCCTGCATCTGTATGTATATTTAAGCCTCTATTTACTGCATAATGGGGGTTAATAATGTGGGCAAAAAAATAACCTTCAAATATATGTTCCACTGGCTTTTAAGAAAGGTTTTATTCATTGACGTTGTTTTCATTTCAAAATGCCCAAAATAAAGCAACAATAAACGGTTTATTCAATGTTACATTTATGTCCAAGTTTTTACAAATTTCTGTCTGTACCTTTACAAATAGGTATCAGGAAATAGTTTTAAAAAAAGACATTGTCAGTTTAGCAAAATAAAGATTTGTATGGAACAAGTTTAGTAGTTACTACCTTCTGGGACAGGTTGTCCTGGAGAGCAACCAGTTTTTCTGCCTTTTGATCCACCTCATCCTGCAGGGCGTCTTTCTCTCTATCCAGGAGAGAGATAGACTTCTGGAGAGCAGCCACTTCCTCTTTGTGTTTTAAACTCTGCTGACTCAACTCCCCTAACGGGAAAACAAATTTAAAATAAAATTATAAATAAACATTTAAGCTGCTACATCAAAAACACACAAAAAAAACACATCAAGAAGTTTCGCAACAGTCGCTGGAGCAGCGCAATCACCTAATCTCTCCTCCAGCTTTTCAATCTGCTCATGGGCCACATGCAGCTCATTCATCTTCACTGAAAGTCTACGCTGCATATCAGACAGTGACTGCTCCATCTGCTCCTGCAGCAGCCTAGATACAGTAAAAAAACAACATGTTGCAACAGTCACAAGGATTTTACTAAACAACTTGACCATATGGTAAATCAAGTGGAGGTAAAGCAATCAGTAATACAAAAATGGATTCATATGAGAATCATTTCTTCAATGCGTCAAATTAAGGACCATTTTTTTTTTACTTTGGATTCATGCAACAGTAGCATCCAATTTGATGCATCTCTTGTTGTTTAACATAAATTGAAAAAAACAGGGTCCATAATAATGCACAAATTGAGAACATTTTGTAGCTGTAGCATTCAAAATCAAAACTAAATCAATAAAAATGGAGCATATTTTTTCCAAAAGGAAAACCACAAATCTGTATTGGAAAGAAAAAGCATGATTAATATATTCTGAAACAACTGTTTCCCATACCCTCAAAAAATAACCCACCAACAACAAATTAGCTCTCAGGTGGATTTATAGTAGAACTACTCAGTTTAGATAAGTATACAGCAGAACAGAGCAGATATCAACAGTAAATCACCTTAGAGTGCTCGCCTCAGCCGTCTGCTGGGCAACAACTTCTGCGTTTTGGACTGAAGCAGTGGATCGAACCTTCAGCTCTTCCTCCACAGCCTCTTTACTCTCCTTTAACAGAAACACTTGAGACTGCAGATCCAATCTCTCCTGCTCCAGCTATAGCACAAAGCCCCCAGGTTAGGATAAAATGATATAATTTTTTGGAGAAAATATTTTAACATAAATCAGACTCACACTCTTGACAGTATTCTCCAAGTCGAGCATCCTCCTCTCCTCTCTGTCACTGAGAGCTGAACCTTGGGCGACCTGCAAATGAACACCAGTGACAATAAGAGTCCTTTTTAGGTGAGTAAACTTAGATTTAGACAAGCTTTACTGTATTCTTATAAACACAGAGTGTATAAAAAAACGATATTTCATTGGGATATTTCAATGGGTACAGCTTTTCAGCTGTGAATAAGAGCTTACAACAGTGAGATGAACATTACGATTTATAAAGTGCAGCTGTGATCAAGAATGTAAACAGTGTCGGACAAAAAGGAAAACCAGTTTAAAGTCATGGTGCAAATGGCATCGATATTGAAGGTTCAGTGCGGTGCAAAATTAATAAATAAATATGGTGCAAAATGCAGGAGAACATCTAGTTGGGTTCTATTTAAAGGGATTCTGAACAAAATAAGTAAATCATATGGAACTGGGATTTTATTAGATCATGTGTGCATTAGCTGAGTAAATAAAATATGCCAAATGTTCCAATAAAGTCTTTACCTTTAACCTCTCCATCAGTGTGTCCCTTTCCAAGGTCATCTGCTCAAGCTTTACCTCAGCACGTCTCAATTCCTCCTGTAGTCTCAACATGTCAGCCGACAAACCTGCTCTGTGGGCCAACTTTAGGTCATCTTCAGCCTTCAGATTCAAAAATAAACACAAACTTGGGATTATACAACCTTCACCTTCAAATTTTTTTGACAGTAGGCTGACAGGAAAGGGGGTATGAGGGGGAGAGACATGCAGCAAAGGACCAAAGGTCAGATTCGAACCCTAGTCGGCCGCGTCGAGGACTCCGTATGTGGATTGTGCGAGCTAACCACTGCACCACCTGCATGCCCAAAGCTGTACATCTTCAATCATAATGTAAACATACTTGCTTAAGGCGGGTTTTGAAATGGTCCCTCTCATCAGTGAGGCCTTTCACATTCTTTTGGATTTCCTCCATGTGCTTCTCAAAGTCCACCAGAGCGGCCTTGATCTCATCCCGTTCTTTGATGACGCGGATCAGTTCTACCTCTGAAACACTCCCCTGAAAAATGTCAGAATATTAGGAGACATTTGGCGACAGTTTACAAAGCAAATCAAAAGAAAATAATAGACCTTTTTTTGAGCTTCTAAAGAAATATGACACATATTTAGATACAGAATATGCTTCACTGAAGAATGAGATATGATCTAAACGTTTTATCCAAACTTGGAAGAGTCATGTGAGTCAACAGGATTAGGTGACAATATGATGGGTTTTTGTGGTATTTTTTTTGGTTTAACACAGAACATCACAAGTGTGACGCTTAAAAATAACCTGTAAAGAAAACAGTGATGATTATGAGCCAAAAGAAAAACAAAAGAAAGCATTCTGTAAAGTTAGACATGTCTGTTCCAAATGTTTTCAATACATCAACATGTGAAGTTGGATTAATTAACTCTGTGCTTTTTTAAGTTAACATTTTTATTTCAGCAAGTTAATGAAGTCAATTGTTTATATAAACAAGATAACAATAAACATTTATTACAGTTAAAAATATATATTAAACATGGAAATGTGAGACTGTTATTAATTTATCTTTTTTAAATAAAGCGTGGTGTTTGACTTTATTATCCATATTTCATGCTTTAAAGTGTCCTAAGTCTTTGCTTGTAATTTACTTCATAATATCAAAAACAAATTTGGCTGCTACAAAATAAAGTTTTGATTTTTAGAGGAAAAGCAGTGATTTACCATAATATAAAAAAATCTATCCCTAATCTCTTACTTTGGTCACATTGCCTTTCAAACTTCTGCTTCTCTCTGGACTGCGTCGGGGGCTCACGCCTGGTCCCCCGGCTCCTCTGGCTCTCTTATACCGCTCAGCTTCGTGGCGATAGAAATCCCTCTCCTCTTCTAGGTTTTTGACAAAGGCATCCAGACGAGATGGGGAATGCTCTCTCCCACAGACACCATGTTTAACACGCATAGCCTCCAACTCCAGCACCAGCTCTTTATCTAGAAAACATGAATCAGTCCACCAGAAAGTTATCATATGGAGCCGATGTCATCCGAAGTTCAGTAACCCAGCGTTATCTGAGGTTAAGCGATAACAAGCTCCTTCCTACCAGCGGCCATCATCTTCTCCACTTTGTCCTGCAGCCTGGTTTTCTCGTCTTCCAGGAAGTTCACTAGTCCCTCCATCTTCATGTTCTGCTCCTTCAGCTCCATCAGTTGATCTCTTAAGTGATCTCTTTCAAATTCTCCTTCAGACAGCTCCTGGACATAATCATTACTTTAAATTGTTAAAACAAATCTGACCAAAAACAGGGAAAAATCTGTTTTACCAACCCTTCTAGAATTTGTGATAATATCCTCCAAGTCTTCAATGGTTTTCTGCTGCCTTTGAATTTCTTTCTGTACATAAAGAATGTATGTAATAGTTTTATTTATTTATTTTTTTACATCCAGCATTTACAGTGTATATTATGTTAAATATTCTCTTACTTTTGACTCTTGTAGTTCCATATCAGCAGTTTCCAACACACGTTCCTTGTCCATCTCCATACATTTTGCAAGATGATCTATATGTGTCAGTTCCTCACAGAGCTCCAGGTTCTTCAAGGAGAGATTTGCCACCTCTGTGGAGGCGTCCTTCTTCTTTAGCTGCAGTCCTTCTACCCTTTGCTCCAGGGTCCTATTGGTCTCCTGCAGGTACTCGATCTATAAAACATGGAACAGACTTGTCACTAAAAACCTACTCCTGTTTACAATCACAGTATGTTTTGCATATTATACATAATGATAACTAAACTTGCCTGAAGGTTGAGATGGGCGATCAGTTTTTCATTGCTGATGTTCTGCGCTTCGAGAGAAATGACATCATGAGGCCGTCCTCCTTGTAGGACATGATTCAAACGCTCTATCTCTCTGTCCCTTTCATCCACCTTTCAAAGAGAAACCATCTTAAATATAAAATAATTACTACACCAAGTGTAACCTATATATATATATATATATATATATATATATATATATATATATATATATATATATATATATCTATATACAAACTTTCTATACTCACCTGAGTATTCAGATGTTTTATACATTCTTGGCCATTTTCCAGGTCCAGTTTAAGCTTGATAAAGTCGTCCTGTAGTTCATTAATCCTATAAAGTCATCAGAGTTATCATAAACTGGGGGGAACTGATGTAAATACCCCCAACAAGCTAATGTACATGGTACACTGCAAAAAAAATTAAAGCGAATACATTTTTCTTTAAATAAAATTATTTATCTTTGATTTGATTTATGTTTAATATTAGGAAAAAAACTCCATCTTAATTTAAAATATATACTATCTAATTATCTCAAATTTAGGACAAAAAAACATTATTTTTTTTAGCTTTTTTATTTGCAGTGTAAAAACACCATTAAAGGGGTCATAGAAAGCAAAACCGAGTTCACATTGCCACAGATAAATAACGATAGTTCAGTGGGTGAAATGAACGCACAGAGACGTTCAAACCCCATTGACACCTCCTTTCTTTGCAAATCTCACAATTCTAAACTACCACCATGAAATGGGCGAATTCAAATGAAGCCCCAAATTTACGTCAACTCAGGGATGTTGCATTATTTGTTTCTGGCCTGTACTTTTGTCAGGGGGGGCGATATGAAGTGTCGACTGCTGAGCCTCTGACTGGACCTCAGTAGAGACCAATGAGCCACCCATCCTCAGCCGGAGCAAAATCCAGGACGATTTTGAAATTCCCCCAGAGATTTAGTTTAGGTATGAAAAGTACCTGCCCTATATAATCATTCTAGGACCCCATTAAGGGAGGTAAAGCAAACCTTCCATCGGCCAGCTGCAGCAGGTCAGCTATGTATGGATCATTAGGCTGGGGGACAGGATAGGTGGATTTAGAAGGAGGAGGTAGGAGCTCATCAATCTGCATTCTCTGTCGTCGAAAAGGAATACTGCGCTTTTTCCCACCTGGGAAAGTGAGACAACAAAAACAGAGGATTTAAGCGTGTATAAGAAAGTCAAACATTCCTTACCCCAATGCTGCCAGACAGTTCAGACTAAAGATTACCTGGCGTCTGCACAACAGCTTGCATGTTCTTCTCCTGCAGCTGCTGGATCCGCTCAGCTTTAGCCTTGCTGTCCTTTTCCAAGCAGCGGACTTTATGCACATACTGGTTGTTTAGAAACTTTAGATCAGATGTCTCATGATCCAGTTTTCTGATTTGTGATTTGAGTTCTAGGGGGAAACAAGGCTGTCAGCAACTTAAGGAGAGACTTCACTAAAATCTGCAGGAAATACAAAGACAAACGACTTTATCTTTACCTCTAGTGACCCGATCTTTCTCCTCCCTGAGTTTCAAGAGCTCTAGATGCAGGTCATTGTTTTCCCTGACAACCCTGGCATTCTCTGCCCTGTAGGGCTCCAGCAGAGCATCAACATTTCGGCTCTCTTTCTCGGTCTTTCCTGCTGATAGTTTGGCAGTGCGCAGGCTCTCGGTTACGTGAAGCAGGTCGCTGCAGGGAAGATGTTGACAAACAGCAGATTACAGCCTGTTATTCACAGACTGACGTCAGTGACAAAGCTCAACAAGAGCACAGGGTATTTCACCTGAACAGTTTCTCCACGAGCGGCAGCGACTCAATCCCTAAAGGTTGTCTGTAGCCCAGCTGATCCAGACGTTTCCGAAGGTTCACGAATTTCCTCTCTGCGCTGCTGTTCATTTTTCTAATGCTTGCGGTTCTTTGAATCAATCTTTTTTTTACACACAAGTCCGATGTTTCATTTATAAAACCGGTATAGTATTATTAAACGAATCACCGAGTTAGCTGGTGTTACTATTATTCGGTCTTTAAAAAAACATTTGAGCTAGTTATCAGTAAACACCCTTTGTAGCGGCTAATGTTAGCCTAATAAAAGTCAACATAACGCTACATTACCCCTTTTGGTGCTATCCCAAGGATCAATAACCAGCCCCTGATTCATTTTAAGATTGTTAATGTTTTACAAACCAGGTTACAATAACCAGAAACTTGTTGCAATAACAGGATTCCGCGGTAAAGTGGTTTGAAAAGAGCGCCATTGATAACTGTTTTGGATTCGTCACCATGGAAGTAGAAGGCCCGACGCTGAGGAGCGCGTGTTTTGTCCAACAGGGTCTCCCCGGCGGAGGGTGCAGTGAGACTAAAGCGATCGTACGTCATCAGATATGTAACCAAAATGAACGCAGGTGTATGGAGGACCTGTAGAGTGACAGCAAAAGAAAAACTGCCATTTCAAATTTAACGTTTAAATCATACAATTAGAATTCCAATTTGATTTTTTTTTTCGAATTGTTCTTTTATAAAATGATTTTGAGGAATTTGAGTTAATCCCATCATCCTAGCCCCACCCCCTGTACAGGACAGTGGAGGACTTCCTCTATTCAGCCTGTCCAGCAATCCCCTTTAAGGACCGGCCTTTCAGACACTTTGATGGGTATGGGGTATTGCAGTCGAACAAAAGAAGTCAAACGACCCCCATTCCAAAGGGGTGGACCCCTTCATCTGTTCCAATTAGCATGTTTTCTAAACAAAAACAAGGCTTTGTTGGGCTACTGTATAAAACCTTGAACTCAATGCTATTTCTGACATTTTGAATAGAAAAAGCTTCCTGGATGGGAAGCGAAACATCTTCAAACATGGAAACCAAGTCCAGTGGATTGGTTTTAATATTTTGGGGAGGAATTTTAAATTGTTTTCATTTTATTCATTATTAAGTAGGCCTAATGCAATTTGAAAATTTGTTTTAAAGTCCTATTCCTAGATGAATATTTAAAACCCACAAAGGTGATTATAAAGACCTTTCCTAATCACACATTTAAAAGGTAATTCTTTATTCCGTTTACTTTTCCCTCTCCATTTACCTTCTCTGTGTTTCTTCTGATCACTGAGCACACTGACAACCAGTTAAGCCAATCACAGTTGCTTCTCAGATGTAACCAGCTATCTCATTGATAGCTGGTTACATGATCCTGGTCCTCCATGCAGGTTGGCATAGCTAAAAATGGTTCTCAAGAAAAACAACATGAGTCTTTGGATGAGACCCTGTGTTGTGCTATTGCTACAAATCTGAAACCATGCTTATGTGCAACACTTGGAGCAAAAGAAATTCCTCCTCAATTGAAATAATAAACTTGTGCCTTTTTATGAAATTCAGATTTGCTAAATTGTGGCATGTAAGAGTTTTGATGTTAGTGCAAACTTCTGAGTTCAAAGTAAGCAGTAAAAAAAAATATATAATTATTCTCACCATTAGCGAGTCACCAACAAATAAATTGACTTGTCCTGACTTAACAGAAGAAATAGCCTTATTAAAAACAGTTAGAAAAAAAATCTGCTTTTTTTTATGTTTATATAGATATTTCATCTTCAGCTGTATATAATGATTAGTCCCTTGGGATTTTTTTTTAATCAGGAAAGACCCATAACTCTCTAAATTGGTTATAGCTTTACCACATCTAGCCTGGAAACGCCTGAGGAATGGAGAGAGAGTGGCTATCAACAGGAAGAGGGATATCCGGGTCCCACCTAGAACCTGTTGACTATGTGGCTGGATCTCAGATAAGCAGAAGAGGATACATAGATAGACCTTCAATTTTTCCCTCTTTCTCTCAATGACAAAATTTATATTTATTGAACACATTATTCAGTCATAAAGTTTGAAGGTGTTTAAATCAACCTCCAACTTGCTTGCATATCAACCCATCTTACAGTACTCTGTCCTGCTGCCTTGATCTTTCTACAGACTACCATTACAGATGTATGATTTGCTCTCCTGTATCACTGATACAACTTTGAGATGAATAATTCCAGGGATGCTTGGAGTGCAGATTTATTTAGTAGACATGACATGCTAAAATAAGAGCATAAACAATTTAGTGTGTATGGAAGAACTGCATAAGTGGCATACAGGCACACAACATTAGCATAAGCACTCACTGTACAATTTGTTTTTAATAAAACAGTCGCACACATGAAATGTTCATACTTCAATCACAATAGTGAATGAATGCTTGGCCAAAGAGAGGTGGCAGTGGGATAGTGTTCAGCAGCTAAACTAATGGGACTGGGCTATGCTAGAAAAGTACTCCAAAATATCCTGAATGGTGAATTCCATAGTGATTCCAGATCCAGGATAACACCTCCCTATCAAACCTTCAAAGTGCTTGTACTGGCGGATAAACTCATCTTGCATGGAGTGCCACACCACCTGGTGGAGATAAAGATAAATGTTGCCGTTTAGAATGAACAGAAATGCATCTTAAGTTCTCAAAAATGTGTTTCTCACCTGCAGCAAACTTTCTTCCTCACAAAGATGTTTGTCCACTTTTTTGTAAAGGTTATCAAGACCCTTTTTCACCTCTTTTCCAGGATACTCTTTGATAACTTTGCGCAGTTCCTGTTTGTTAAAAGCCAGCTGATAGCTCACTTCCTCCTCACGGACGCCCTGAGCCACTCGTGCCTCAACTCCTTCAAAGAAATGCTGCAAGCGCAATGATAATTTAGTGATTCAACAACATCTCTGACCCTGCATATTTGTACAGAACTGAAAGATAATTCTTCTTACATTAAGTTTTTCCAGTGGCTGACCAAGGGAGTTGATTACATAACACTGCAGGTGGTCTGTGTATTTGTGCTTAGCCTCTCGTCTTTCTGCATCCAGGCAGGAAATCTTTAGACGTGATAATGTAGAAAAGATGTGGTGGAAGTTCTCCATCATGACCACATCCCGGGGCGTCTTCTGGCTTTCACTGGCCACCTTCTCCACTGAAAAGATAACCAATGTAAGACATTTTATTTCCAGTAATGACCAGGAAATGAAATGACCTGAAGCCTCACCGTTCATGAAAACAGCCCTAATAAGTTTCACATAGGCTTTATCCAGGTCCCCTCTGCGCTCTGCATTACGGAAGATTGTCTCAGCAAGCTCAGCAAACTCCTCAAATCTTGTGACAAAAGGCAGGATCCCCACTTTGCTTTTCTTAGAAATCTTCACTTCTTCCATCTGTTTAATCTGACCTGACTGTATCAAGACGACAGATTTGTACTTGTTACACAACATGTACAAATGCAATATTTCCCTTCCATAAAAAAAAAAAAAAGAAAGTTCTCTGCCAGTGTGGACTCTACTCACAATGCATTTGTCAAAGTTCCTCTTCACAGTGACCAACACATTTCCCAGGGTTGTGCTGAGGAAAGAGGCTGGATCAACGTTCTCAGCTGTCCACACATGGTGACTCATCTTCACCAGCATGTACAGAGAGTGGAAACTGTCAATCTTGTCGCCCAGAGCGATCAGGCTGTTGAGCTCTGGTTCGATGCTCTGGAAGATTTTATTCATCATCAGCCGCACCATGTCTTTCCTTTAACCACAAACAGAAGTGAAGAGTTCTAATGAGTTTTATTGTACTCATTTTATTTCAATATACGCATATATCAACTCTCTGATATAAATATTGGGACAAATAAAAGCCATTCAAAAAGTTCAAGAGAAAAAAACAATTTTAAATCAACATAATAAATACAGATTTCCTCACAGCTTAAACATGTTTACGAAAAGTAAACTGCTTACATCATCTCTAACAAATAACACTATTGATGCCAATTTTTATCTGAAAATGAGTTTGAACTGAAGCAGTTTCACATTTAGAATGAAAATAAATCCATAGATTTACAACAGAAACTAAAATGAACTGCACATTTCTAATATAGTTTATGCAAATGCACTTTTAAGTATTTTTCTATCCGATTATTGTCATCAGATCAGATTATTAAAAATTATTAAATAATTTATATTTTATCATAACGAACAAATTTAACGTTTTAATATCATTTCTGGGAGATTTGCCTATTTTGCATACACAAATGGAAAAGCAAATAACCTAGGAACTGTAAGCCCAAATTACATGTGTGATACTTTATTTGAAAGCGAACACCTTCTAGTTTCTGAATATATACATGAAAATTAGGTGAGTAAAACACCCAAGCTGCATCAGTTTAAACATGACTCAAAGCTTTTTTTTTCTTTTGTCTTTTTTGAACAGCAGCAATAAAGACATGCCTGCTTGTTGTGGCTGCTTTGTCATGCTACATTTCGACATACTGCTATAATTGTACTTTGGTGCTCGCTATGTCCATAAAATTAACTAGGTGGTTGAATTGTGGAGAATCTAAGCTTTCCAACGATGTCTAACATGTCTATATTGGTAAACATTTTACCAGTGTAATTTTCATGCATTCTAAGTTATTTGTAAACGCTTTAAAATGGCGGGTGGGTTTTGAGAGGTTAAGTACATTTTTTATATATTTAAGATTTTCTAAATTGTTAAATTACAACCTCCTTGATTGAACAACGGCTAACAAAGAGCTTCTTATTAACATGTGCTGCCCCTAATGGAGTAAGTTAGTTATTGGTGACCAAGGGATACAAAATATGAATTGGTAATGGATGTGAAACACTCGGCTTTACTAAAGAAAACAATCCGTTTCCATTTTGTTTCCATGATTGTCAGTAAAATTTCTCAGATTCAACTGAAACTCCATCTGCAAACAAACAAATTAAATGCAGATTTATTTATTTTTTTTTACCAAAGATTTGTACATTTTAACATGGAAATTGTATAGAAGATAGATACTCAAATTTCATGACTGTGTTATTGAGAGTCACCAAAGAAAAAAATTCTGACAGCTTATCTCATAATTACGAGATCTTTTCTCATAATTATGAGATAAAGATCTTCACCAAACTGCTCGAACAACCAGGCGCTGACGGAAGGCAAGCACGCAACATAAATAGCTGAATAATCAGGTGGAAATGATCGGGGTTAATCAGCTGCAGGACCAATTAGACAGGGGAGCAAGGAGGAAAGGGGAAAAATCGAACCATCAGCACTGAGATCATGACAGCTTCAGAATCGTTTAAAACAACCAGATCCCAACTTTATGCAGCATGTCAATTCATATGAAAAACTAAAACCAAATAGAATCTGTATTAATAGAGCTGCTGACCGATTTTCACGTTTGGTCAAATCGCTGCATGCTTACTCCACAAGTAGTAATCCCAGGGTTATAGATGGATTTATTGATGAAATGAAAAAC